AATAAGAAATATGAAACAAATAAAATAAAATACATACAAAGCAGAACACAGCTAAATGTATCAAAAGTATGTCCATGTAATATTAGAATTTTCTGACACAATGAATTTTGGTTTTTCCTCTTTTTTTCCCAGGAAAAGGTTTTTATTTATTAGAATTTTTGGACAAAAAATCGCAATATATCATGAAATATTGCCTTGCTTATACAGTAGTATCGCAATATATCGGGATATAGCGTATTCTGTCATGATATGTATCGTATCGCCAAATTCTTGCCAATACACAGCCCTAATTGTAACACATATTTTAGAAATAAATCTTTGTTAATTTAGTTTATTTCTTCTTAATATTATTTGGCATCACAAGATCAAAATTATTCCAGACTGGGGAAAACTTCAGTCTATGAAGTCAGTGGAACAAGGTGAGAGCAAAAATCCAACAGCAAGACTCCATCCAACAAACGCACAACACGTCAATACAGTTTGTTTRCTTATAAACACACTTTAACGCGGCACATCCAAACGACACACTTTCTGTACCAGTCACAAGATTTTGTTCTTAAAGTGATACACGCACCAATACAGGGTTTTACTCTTGTGCGCTCGGCACAGTGCTGACGCACCTGTGTTGTTTGTCCCATCATTAGMACAGCCCTCTCTTTAAAGAGTGACCGGCTTTTCTTCTGCAGTCAGATTTTGTTGAAAGTCCTCTAGTTGTTAATATTAGAGAGACAGACCAAATTGGATGGCCACTGGAAGCTTAACCAACTCCCAAGTAGGAAGTTAAAACTACCGTCAGCTCACTGTAGGCCACAATTGATTTATTTTAATTTTCTAAGTGTGTCATGGAAGAAAATCAGTTCACAAACGGATCAAATGTAGACTTCTGTGATTTATTGTATACAAAGCAATTGCAGGCAAAAAGAGAACAGTCAAAATGACAGAAAAAGCTGTGTATTAAGTCCTTGCTCTAACTTTCTTGCTTAGAGTTTTGCCCCATTCTGTTAAACTGAGTAAAAAACTGTTCTTTTTATAGGAACATCTGTAAAACTTCTTTCAGATTGTAAACATGTCCTCTCATGAATTTGATATTCAGATTTCAGCTATTCTGGGTTTAAAAGTTTAAAATTGTATTCAGACTTATTAAAGTTAGGTAAAGTGTATAGTTTCATTCAAAAATGTTCTATAAAAATGAGTATTAATTTGTTTTTAATGTAAATTCGTTTTTCTCATGTGAGCTCTGCCTTTAGGTTGTTACAAGTAGATACAGTGGGGAAAATAAGTATTTAGTCAGTCACCAATTGTGCAAGTTCTCCCACTTAAAAAGATGAGAGAGGCCTGTAATTGACAACATAGGTAGACCTCAACTATGAGAGACAAAATGTGAAAAAAAATTTGAGAAAATCATTTTATCTGACTTTTAAAGAATTTTTTTGCAAATAATGGTGGAAAATAAGTATTTGGTCACCTACAAACAAGCAAGATTTCTGGCTGTCACAGACCTGTAACTTCTTTTTTAAGAGGCTCCTCTTTCCCCCACTCATTACCTGTATTAATGGCACTTGTTTGAAGTCGTTAACAGTATAAAAGACACCTGCCTGTGACGTGCCCCTGTGTCATTTTACCTGCCTAATTGTCTGATGTCCTCTCCTTTCAGA